ATTGGTATTTGTTTAGGCATACCTTCAAAAACAATCACCTGGGAATATTATGACAAGTCAAAGAATTATAATTGTATTGGACCTATTACACCAGTAGAATTTTATGAGAAATATGTGAAACCCTACTACAATGTAGATGATAAAGTATGTTTAGTAACAGATCCTAGGCCATCTAATCCATATGGAAAGCTTTATACCATAGACTGTTTAGGAAATGTTTTGGGAGGAAGACCTACGCTCTATAATAATCAACCACCTGAATTATTAATGAAATTATGTGCAGAAAGTATAAAACAAAATGAACCTGTATGGTTTGGATGCGATGTGAACAAACGATTAATAGCTAAACAAGGAATACAGGATTTGAGAGCGTATGACTTTGAATTAATGTTTGGAACTGATATCCAAGTTAATCTTACAAAAGCTGACAGATTACTTTATGGAGATTCTATGATGGTTCATGCAATGACACTTACAGCTGTTTCAATCGATGTAAGTTAGTAGCGATTTTTTAAAAATTAAGGAAAAATGATTGTGTAAAGAATTTTTTTCTCATATTACAGCCCTCTTTCAAGATTACATATTAAAAATTTCTTAGTATCATTAAAAGCAAGAGAGATATGTACGTGTCTGTATTTGTATTATGAATCGTATAGTATGAATTGTTATAATTCTTTGCTTTTTCAGAATGAAGGTAAAATTAAACAGTTCCGAGTAGAGAATTCTTGGGGAGACGATCAAGGACAAAAAGGATATCTATTACTAACAGCCGACTGGTTTTCCGAATTTGTTTTTGAAGCAGTTATTGATAAAAAATTGGTACCTGCAGATGTTTTAGATGTATTTAAACAAGAACCCATTACCTTACCTGCATGGGATCCTATGGGTACACTTGCTCACTGATAATAATGTAAGCTAAAAACTATTTCAAGATAAAATATTTTAGTTAAAAAATGTGTATATATAACATAAAAAATTAAACATCAAATACAGTTTTGAGCGCATTGGTACAGCAAAGTACAATAAATTAAGACTTTAACACTTTTATAGTTCATTAACAACAATTAAGGAATAATTCTAGAAAGTTGAATTATGATATTTCGATTATTTAACGCCTATTCAGGTTTAAAATAATATATATTGCTATAATTAATAAAATATTAAGATTGTATATTTAACATAGTTCCTAAAATTTAAGATAATCACATGTGTAATTTTGTTTCTAATTTATAGTTTATGTTTACTTAAGAATAATTGCTTTCGTTTCTTTCTTTTTTTTTTTATTATATTTTAAATGTCACTTAAGTATATAAGTTAAATGTAATTTAACTACACGAAGAAACCAAAAGAAGTTAGAAATTAAAAGATGTACTATTATATGTGTTCTACATATGCATACTTCATAAAGTATTGCTTCATTAAGTTTATTTAAAAAGCTTCGAAAATATAGTATTTGACTTCACATTTACATATTATACCTCTATTTTAAATGTTTTTTAAATTGAAAAGAAACTTAATAATTGTATGAAGATTAATAAAAATGTTGCAAATGTATATATTTAGTCATTACTTTTAATTTAACAAAATATCTTTTAGTAACATTTATTTAATAATTACAAAAAATACATCTTTGGAAACAATATTTTACACACATTATTTATTTCTAAACATAAATATCAAATTTAATTAGCCTAATCTTAAACTATGTTTAGAAATTTTATATATTACTAATATTAAACAGTTTTATGCCGTTCTTTTTGTATTTTATAACAATATTGAAGTTTTGCCCATACACCTTGACACATATTTTGCAAACGAATATCATTCCAACTTATAGAAAATTTGTAAATACACTTTATCATTCTTTTTGGTTCTTTTAATTGGCCTTGTTGAATTAAGCTTAAGGCAGTATATAGTTTACAACGAGCAATTAGAAAGGGATCTCTGAGACGAAGTGCTAGTTCAAATTGCTTCATGGAAATTTTTCCAGCCATCTGTGCCTGGATAGAAAAATACATTTAAACACAAATTATTCAAAGAAATAATTGCACAAAACAATCAAATGTAATATTTACTAGTTTTTAATATATAGTAGATACATATTAATAAAATATATAAAACTTACACATTGTTGAAATTCTTCTCCTAAAGCAGAAAATGCTCCACCCAAAGTAGACAACCAAGACATAGCATGATCAATTTCTCTTCTTTCCATTGTCATTTGTGTCATTCTCTCATTCCTAAAATTAGAGGAATTTGTATTGTATAGTTTTATAAAGCAATAATGAAAGAAGGCTTTAATTAACTGAGCAGTTAGAATCTTGCCATTTGTAATCTAAAAATTGTTTCCTTGGCATTTTCAATCTTATTAAAATCATTTCTAAATACACTCTGTTTGACAATCTGTATATTAAATATTGTAATAATTTTTTAAGTGCAGCTTTTCGATATGTTTGTGAATTTGCTAATGTTATAATATATGCTGATACAACATAGGCATTAAGTCCTCTTTTGTTTAGGCAAATTCTGTTTACTTGTATCTCGTTAGTTTTATTGACTTTGTTTATGTCAACATTTATCTGACATGTACTTTTAGTTTCTCTTACTTTCTGCTCATATTTTATTACAGAATAAGGTGTAACAATAATGCTATCGAAAATTGTACCACCTTTATATACAATCAATTTTATAGAACTATCCATTTTTCTAATTCCGCAAAATAGACGCTTCTTTAAACATATGAGAATGTTGTTTCGTTGTATGTAGGGCCATTACAACATTACAGTATAAATAATACATATTAAGAATTTGTATCACATACACTGCTTTGACCAACTTTTACAAATATTGGTGATAAACTTTATATCTGTAAAGTATTAATAACTGTATTCAACATATAAAAAAATTATACTACTTTATGTAAAAATCCTTCTGCCTTTAACATTTCAAAGATATCTTATACGAAATATTTTCTACGTAAGGTTTGCAGTTGACAATTTGAGGTTAAAAGTTTAGTTCATCTTATATATATACGCGTGGTAAAGAAGAGAAAGTGGTGGGGATGATACATTGAAATCATAATAAGTTAACATAATAAGTTATTTATCAAAGTTAATAAGAAAGCGTTTCTTTAATTTTTTGAACTTAATATCTAACTTTTGAACTTACATGTAAACATTATAACATACATTGTATAATATTTTAGGTAAGATATGAATTACTATTTAAAATTAATCTCATATTAATTTTCAATACGATTAAATAATATTTTTTAAGGTACTTTTGAGTAGGAAAATTATAGAAAAAATAATATTAGTTCTATTTATAACTTTAGTAAAATTTAAACGTTTCCATTGATAAATAATGTATCCGTTATGATAAACATTAAATGTTGGTTTTTTAGTTATTTACATATAGATTACATGAGCTTTATATGCAATAGATTGTAGTGTATGATTGTAGATAAAATTTAGATTACTAAATTTTATTTTGTTTAAAATGTAATTTAAATATACGTCGTAGAATATAATGCAAAGAATGGCGATAAAACTAAAATAAAAAATATCATGTGGTATTTATGACAAAATGATTTAAGAAATTTATTACCTGAAGATTTTGATTATTACAACTACATATTTTGAACGAAGCATTCTTATTGGTCATTCAACATTATATATAATGTATCAATATAATAACAAAGTATATGCAGTTAATAACATGAAATATAACTGGAATTTAAAATTATTATCAAAATAGTAAACTCTTATGTATTTTTTATAAATGAAAACATATTTCGATTAGTAATCATGTATGCATATACATACATTACATAAATTGCAGTATATATGATCCATAAATTTTCTACAATAGATTTAAATTTGTAAATTTTGACTGAAATAAAAAATATAGAATAATATTAATATTTAATAATTATGTTTCTTTTACTTTATATTATATATTTTTCCAATTTGTATCCAAAATTCTCAAATATATTTATTTAATAATTTATAATTCTAAACAATATTTTTATATGCATATTTTAACTATTCTAATGTATAATAATCGATTAAAAACATGTGAATATTACTGAAACATGTATATTTTTAAATTTGTGATTTATGAACGAAAAGGTCATTTACTAAATATCTGTTTGCTTTTAAGTATATTCTGCAAATAATCCATACTTTAAATCAACTAACTATTTATGTAACATGCGACTTTTAAGAGAGATTGATTATTGTGAATATTTTGACATAGATACAAGTGAAAGATCTATACAAGATATTATTTCATATATCATTGATAATTTAAATAAATGATCATTAAGATATGTGTTAGAATAAATGAAATAAAATAATGTTCGGCAGTTCGGGGTAATGTAAAGCACGTTTTGCGCCACTGTGCGCGTGGTACGACGGCGCAGTTATTGGCATTTCCCAAAATTTCGTCGACCAGTCACACCGAGCAATGCGAACACACCTCTCGTAGGAACCAATCAGAGTCTCAGCATCTATTGCTACTGTATAGTAATTGGGGCAACGTACAACAATTGAAATTCGTTGTGCCGGTTAATATTAGCAATAAATTGAAAAAGAATCTTAACAAAAAAATTCGTTTACTTTTTAAAGTCGGTTTTCAACGGGTGTTTTGCATAGATAAGTTATAATAGACGGTATCGTGGTAAGGTGAGCGCTTGACTCGTACGTCGCTGGATGTCTACGAGTACCCCACCTTGTGATTCGGCCTAAGCTTTGACGAGATACCTCTATTGGTATTGGGGTCTCCGACTCGATCGTGGCAGGTTGGATTTACCCCGTTTGTCACTGAGAAAAATCGCCTTGGTCAATCTACGTTCTCGAATCTTAACGTTCATTGCTACTGGTACTTTTTTCAGTGAGACTCTCATAGGGCGGAGGAGATCGCGCAGTTCACGGTTTTTTTTTCCGCTAAATAGTGCGTCCTGATTGCTGACATTTCTTGCATTAGAGCTACGGCAAGGTATGGCGTTTTTGAGAACGGTGCCGCGTTGCAGTGCCGGTAAAAAGCTGAGGAAGTGTTTACCACTTCCTGTCGGCCTCCTGGAGAACGTAACGAAGCCATCGGTGCAGTTAGTGCAGGTGTACGATCGCGAATACACCGGCACTACCGCTGACGTGAAGCCGGCTCCTCCGCGACAGATCGATCCTCTGGATTTGAAGTTTAACGATCCCGTCGCCTCTTTTAAGAGTAAAACCACGAAAGAATTGCTTCGTGCCTACATCGTTTATCAACTATGTACCATCGAGTACATCGCCGAGAACAATATGAAGGTAAGTTCAAATCAGATTCGATGACGTTACTTTGTATATTACGTGTTATTATAGATTTGTTATATACCTATAAATTATCCCTATGACGTACGAAATAGCATGACATGTGCTCTCACAACGTCTTCTCTCTCTCGCTCTTTTCCCTAGCCTGTCTTTTCTGTTCCAGCCACATTGTATAGTCATTTGTTTGATTTTTTTTTCTCAGATCCATTCATATATATATATACGTAAATTCGAAAAAATATTCTTCTGTATCAATCATCTACAATTCTAAAACTTTAGTCTATAATGTGTATCTAACAATCATTTAATACATGGAGTATAACTAGAATACAATACACGTAATATATACGATACATAGGTATATATAAGTATAATAGATATCATGCGATATAAGAGTTGCTATTGGATATTCATAAAATTTGAAGTATTTTATTGCCATTTTTATATAAAACAGCGATTCATTCATACATAAAATTCTATTAAAACGAAGAATTTTTTCTCATATCAAAGTCAGTTGTACGACGTTAATCACGTTAGTTGGATCTTTCAGATAAATAATTGGTGTTCTGTGCCTGTGTATGAATTACATATATTTAATGCAATCGATGAAATTATAGCATAATTGTATATATATATATATATATATACATATATATTATATATTATATATTATATTATTATAGTATATATATATATTAACGGAATTTTATAAAATTCCGTTTAATAGGATTTTACTCACAGACTAAGAATAAGGAATTTGTCGTGAAAAAATCATAGAAATAAGATTTATGCATTGTTCTGTAACACCGAAAGGAAATCGTTTGTTACGCAATAGCGTTAGAGGATCGCAAAATTAATTAATTGTTGATTTTTCTGTGCAAAGTTTTTTGAATATTGAAGGAAGGTAGAGATTTTTGGAGATTTTCTATATTAAATATGAACCAGCAACCTTTTATCGATAGCGTCGGGATTCGTAGCCGATTTATACAACGACGTGGCATGGCGCGTTATTGATTTTAGTAATACTTAATAGTATATTGAATCGACCTAGCAATTTTGTCGCAAACTTATAGTGGTGGCCAATTACGTAACTAGGAAGGAATGACCAGAGGATCGTAAAAACCTATACGATTTCATTGGCTAGCTTGGGTTGTTACTATTGTACTGTTTAATTCTTACGGAAATACTCTTCTACGGAAGGACTGTTTAATTTCCTACGACGTGTCGTCATCTTTATGTAGTTAAATGAAATAATTTGTAGTTTTAAATTTGTTAAGCTTCATTCGTATCAATATTTTATTGATATGTATATAATATTTTTGGTACTACAAGAATGCTATAGTGCTTAATTTAATTTAATCTCATTTATTATTTAACTTCTCCTGTTTATATTAAAGTTTCAAATGAAATATACAAGATTCGGTAGATTAATAATAATTATGGAAAATAATTAAGTATGGTGCTTGGTGGTCTATCGTAGGAAGTGAATTTAGGTAAAATATACTCTAAGTAGGTATTTTTGGAGCAATATTATTATAATCTATATAATTATAATATATAGAATATTTTATTGATACTTGTAAATATTATCCTTTTAACTAAGTCAAGTGTTTTTCTACGTCAATTACTTAAAATTATGATGTAGAATAATTCAACAATATGTTGTACAAAATGCATTTATCTGCAATTATTTTACTTAAAGGATTTGTAGATATCTAATTCCTCATAATTACAATTCTTTTTTGTACGTACGCGTATATATATATTCTTACTATCATTCTTCTCATTATTTTAATAATTATCTAGAACTATATAGCAAAGTAAAATTCGCAAATTGGAAGATCTAAAAGTTCGATCCGTTTGAATATATGGAAGTAATTTTAAGTAGATTTCCAAAATTCGCCAGTATTCGTTCCAAAGTTTGAAGCTAGTTTATGAAGATCGTATATTTGACAAGTGCAATGAACGAATCATTATAGTGGCCATAAGCTTACATAAAAGCATATTTATTTGCACATACCCTCATTTTTCAGTGATATGTCTTTTTTATTACGCTCTATATTAGTCTATATAGATATATCTCATTTTTATAGTATCAAATATTTTTAATCATATGAATGTACTATTAAATGATATAATAAATACAACGGCGTGCCAATAATTTTTGTAGCCACTTACGAGTAGTATTAGAACCTTATGAAGCGTATCTTATTAGGTATTGGTTTTGATTAAGATTTACAAATATACTTGCATATATTGAATTTGTTCTCATCATTAACTCGTGAGCACAGAGGTTTCTACCGTCTTGGTTTTATTTCTAACAACATCATTCATTGCTGCATTCATTAGATATGCACATGACTGCCGCGAATAAGGAAAATTAACTTGTTCACATTTAATTATGTAATAATGTAGCTTTCGTCGAGTACTTAAATAGAAGAAGGTGTGTATACATACGTGGTTGGTGATTCACATCCTATCCTGAATGTATAAACCTTGCTACACCGTATTGATTATTATTGATTTTTAAAGTGCGACATGACTCTGTAGTGTCTTCGTTTTAGACTGTTGGCAGACGGTGCCAAGAATTGTATTTTGCTGTGTAATACTTCGTGAAACGTTTATTCTGATCGTATTCAGTTCTCGAATATTATAATAATATTATTTATGAATACATAATAATAAATGAAAATATGAATTAAAATTAAATATACTAATAAATGGAATTACACGATATAATAATAGATATTACACACGTTTCAAATAAATATCTTATCTAAGAAATAATATCTATATATTTCAGAGTTAAAAGAGTTTTCATTTCTGTTATTTCGTGGAAACGCATAAATAATAAATGACCAATACTAATTTTAATGGTTTCATATATCGAAATAATTTTATCATAAGATCAAGAGATTCAGCGAAGAAATAATATTAGCGTATTTTTTCAAAAACGAGAGATACATGTATAGGGAATAATATAGGGTATTTTTAAATACGAATATTTTAAAATCTATTGAAGATTTTCCTATTACAGTTCATATTTTACCTATCATTTCTTCAAATTAAAAATTTATTAGACACTTGTTCTTACATCGTTTTTTTTCTTCAAGCTTGATAGAAAAGTAAAACTGATTTTCGTAAGAAAAAATAGACGTAAACAAAATTCTAAAATCCTTCGGCTTTTTTTTTGATTTTTTGAAATTAAAACGTGGATATTTCTTGCTTATAACTGAAAAAAAGTTTCTACGAACATTTAAATGCCTTATCGTTGATTATAATGGAAACGTTCCCTTTATCTCTAAATTAACATAGTTATCATCGACTAATTACATGGACACTTGAAATTCTTGGTCGATATATGTACTATATATTTATCGGTTAGATAAAAGTCGTGCAAGTTCTGTAATCACATCCTATCTGTCTCGTAGACATTTTCAATCTTTTCGTTTAATCCTGGGAAATCCACGAATATAGACGTAAATTCTTGAAAACGATTGAAATCCTTTGAAATTCTCGATCGTGATCTGCAATTATTTTGATCAAACTTTTATCAAATCCTTGAAGATTGAAAGAGTTAAAAAGAAATCAGTTTCATCATTGAGATTGTCACAACCTGACCACGTTTCTTTATTAGAATTTTTGTTCAGGCTATCGATCTTATCTGTATTTCGATTATTCAGTAAGGTAGAAATTTGATAAATTACGTGATTATTCGTGATTGATTCGGTACTCATTATTCATGCCATTCGGCTTGTTTCAGACACGACAAATGATTCATATTTTGAAGAAATTTATTTTTTGTATAATAATGTATAAGATTTACTTCTTTACGATAAATGTCCCGCTTTTCAGATATTTTCTTATAGATAGCACTAATGTTGCATTTATGTTTATACGACATAATAATGTTTCTCTTCTTTTATGTGTAATTGTTATTTTTGTCGTAATATGTATTTGTTTTATACGGATTAATTAATAAAACTGATAAAAGCGAAATACAAAAGATTTATTATATTCGTTGCGAGTGTTACAATATCACAATAGGACCTATTGATAGATGAGAATTCTTATAAATTAGAAGTTGTTGGAAATAGAACCTAGTAATTTCTAAAAATGCTCTTAACGTTTCAACATACCACGCTCGGAAGAAAACTGAATAGAAAGGATTATTATTGGCATACAGGGAAGGTGTAGTTTCATGGCATTAAATCACACGTGTCTTTCATATCACCGAAAATTAAAGGCGCGGGATCAAGTGGAGTTTAGTATGGTACTGTAATCTAGAAACACTGCGTCTTCTGATTCCTATCTTTGTTTCAGATTTCATTGAACGTTGTTCAAGAAATTTTATCGAAATGACGACGCTTAATCACTTTTAGTCGACATTGAAAGTAAATATAATATTTTGAAAAGATACTTTTACTTTGAAATTAATGGATTATTTTATATGTATATACATATTTTAATTGATTTAATAATTAAATTACCTATTATAACACTGTTCGACATTTTAAGCGTAAAAACATTTTAGATAATGTTAGAATTAATTTTTTATGAATTTTTATCTGGAACAAATAAAATATTTCTTATTAGTATCGTATGGGTATGATAAAAATATTTGATTAAAAAATTAATTAGATTTTGAATTTAAATAAGAATAAAATAAGAATGCGGCGTTAAAGAATAAAAGAAGAAGAAGCAGATGTTACGTTCAGATCACCCAAGGAACCAGGTGTTGAGTTATTCATCTGTGAAGCTTATAGCACGATCGTAGAGAGGGTTACTTTTCAGTTGAAATCTTAAACCTTATTAGGCAGCATTTACAATTGTAGTTTATTTTCCATTCAATAGTCAACGACGTGTTATGAACTCGGTACCTCTAAAAGGTACTTTGAAGCCATATTGTAACGATACGAGTTGCCATGGTTTCTAACTTCCGGAGAAGTATCACAATCTTTCCGGAAAAACCGAACACCTCGCATTAATTCTGCTAC